GTGACGAGGAGTGGTCCAAAATTACTCCAGATCGTTGTGCAGGTCTGATCTGCAACTACAGGAAACGTTTGGTTGAGGTTATTGCTGCCAAAGGAGGGTCAACCAGTTATTAAGTCCAAAGGTTCACATACTTTTTCCTCCCTGCACTGTGAATGTTTACATGTTATGTGCAATTAAACCATGGCAACATCTAATGTTTGTGTAGTATTATGTTCAGCAGACTGTGTTCTTCTACTGTTGTGACTTAGATGACGTTCAGAGCACATTTTATGCCCAATTCATGCAAAACTCCACGTAATCCCAAGGGGTTCACATACTTTTTCTTGCAACTGTATGTGTTGCACTAAGGCAGCCTATCCATTTTGATACTTTAAAAGTGAAAGATAGGCATATAAGCCAGACCGAAATTCAATGCCAGCATATGACAAGCTAAAAACATTAAAGTGTTAATACTGTGCATAAATCACCAATCAGTGTTTTTCAGCAGCCTACTATTCATAGCACCGATACACAAAATATTTCATATAAATATACAACGGGGCTGCAAAATTATTCTTCACCTCACTAAATGTTCTGAACTATTTAAAATAATCTGTCCAAATGTTATAATGGAAGAGATACTGACAAGTAAATACAAACATAATTTGCCATAGGGTCTTGCTTGATATTTTATTTTACTGGTGGCGAGTAGGAAAGGGTGGCAACATTCACATATACAAAGGGGAAGGGGGGGACTAAGAAAAAAAAAATTAGCTACCCTATAACAGGATGTCTGAGAACAGCAGAAAAAAGCTTGCATTTGAAACTTGTAAGGTGTTGTTTACATTTTTACAATATTAACAATAAGTACACAAATTTACAATCTAAATAGTTTTTTTTGTCATTGAAATGGGCTTGAGTCCTTGTTGTAAGTTAAAGTCACTGTAAATGCTTTTTCTTAAAAAACAAAACAAAACAAAACAAAAAAAAACACAAAAAAAAAAAAAAACACAAAAACAAAAAAAAACATGTTTTTAACTTACCTACTTTGTATGGAATTACACAGTGTGGCCCCACACCTCCTCTTTTTGGGTCCCCCACCAGTGCTCAAGTAAGTGCCCACATAGAAAGCCACTTTCTATAGGGGTACTTGTGCGGGCTCACCCCCAAGCCTCGCATTCTGCGTCTATAGACACAGACAGCGAGACTTAGCCCCACCCCCTCATCACTGGCCTTGACTGACAGCAGCAAGAGCCAATGGCTCCCGCTGCATCAGCAAAGCCTGCGAGATCAGGATGTGAGGAAAAAGCTGCAGATGGGCACAGCATTGGATCCAATGAGAGCTCAGGTGAAAGGGACGGATGCCTAAACATTTTTTGCCCTAATGCAAGGAACACAATAAGGAAAAAAATGTTTAGTTTTTTTTTAACTACTTAAATGGAAAAAGAAGACTTTGTAATTTACCTTTTCTTTGGAATATGTTTTTTATATATCATATAGAAGAAAATTTCAGATGGCTGTACAGATCTCTGGATTTACTGGTCATTTTGAAAACGTTTTCACAATTTTTAATCTGATGCTCCATTTCAAGTACTCAGGTTTGTGGTAGGTTTACTTTAACAACAAAACAGAGCTTTTGTCACAGACAAACAGCAGAGAAGTTTGTCACTAATATCACAGAACCCTTCTCCACTTAACCCCACTTTGTGCAGTAGTCCTATAAATCAGGCTCTCGTATTGCATTGGACAAGTTGTGGGAAGTGACCCAAAGCAAAGTAAAACAGTCTGGAAAAAATATCCTGAATGCCACTACAGTGTAACCTAAAATACTACCTAGTAACCTCTAAGTTCTTCCATCATTCATCAACTTTTCTACTAACATGTGCAATTGTATCATTTCCAGCTTACATCAGTGAGAAAGAAGTGCCTATCTCTTCAGGGAAGCCTATCCTGCCCTCAGCTAATACTGGATTCTTCTACTCTTCCAACTAGTCCATCCCCCACAGTTACTACCTTTTGTACCACTAGCCCCTCCCTCCTAGATTGTAAGCTCCAAGGAGCAGGGCCCTCCTATCCCTCTTGTATTGAACTGTATTGTTGCTGTATTGTCTCCCGTTATATTGTAAAGCGCTGAGCAAACTGTTGGCGCTATAATATAATATAATATAATAATAATAATAATAAATCATTAACTATACAAATTAGGCAGTCCAAGCAATGACATATACATCAAGGGCTTGGATAAGGGGGTACCACCAGTCCTCCTGTATGGGGCCCAGGCCAGCAGGGGGCCCAGGCAGTTGGGTTAATCGGATATGGGCAGGAAGGGTGGTCAGAATGGTGGTGGTGGTGGGGGGGATCAATTATTGGAATTGATCCCCTGTATGGCTCTGTCTGGAGCAGCTGAAAGCTGGCTTCTTCCCCTCTCCCACTTGCTGGGTTTCAGCTGCTGCAGAGTTATACAGCGGACCAGTTCCAGTAATTGACCCCCTTACTGCACCCATCACCCTCCCTGTGTACAATACATTTTCCCCCTTCTGCCCAAGCCCCCCTGTGTGACCCCACTCCCGCAGTGCTGGCAGCTTCCCTCCTCTCCTTCCCATTGGTAGCTGCAAGCACACAATAGGATCCTTCAGGATGGAAAGTGGGGGAAGGTCCTGGTAAATATGTCACATTTACCAGCCCTTTCCTTTCCTGAATGAACACAATGAGTGATCTGTACCGATCACTCACTGTGTTCATTCATAACTGAAGCATAATAAACTGTGCTTTTGTTTGGGGAGGGGGGGGGGGGCCCTGTCATGTTAGCTGTGTGAGGCCCCATGGTTTCTAACAGCAGCCCTGTATACATCATACAACATAATGATCAATGGAAATAAAAACATGTACAAATTATATTATCAATGGATTAAAAAGTTCAAAAAAATTAATCCACTAATAGTAGCCACGTGGAGAAAAAAAAAAAAATAATCTTGTGAATGTTGTGTTCATGTGTTGCACAGGTGGCTGACATCTGCTCATTAATTGACTTGGATTTTTCAATCCAGAGCTTACATACACAGCTTCTGTTGTCCCCTGCATATCTACAGTTTGACTATTGTCCTGAGAATCTTGTAACTAAATAAATGCATAGGGGGCTAAAAACAAAGTTCTGACTGCCTGAACCCAAGCTAGGTTACATTGTTGTATTTTATAGAGAAAATGTAATTTTACTAAATGCATTATCACGGCTGAAACCATTTTTGTAAGTGGGAAACAAATGGCTTTAAACACAATAATGGCTTTAGACTGCTTTGAAATGGAGTTCCTTTCTCATACAAGTCAAATGCAAAAGCAGCTTGGAGTTTCTCAAGTGTGGGTTTACACAGAGGTGGAAGAGTTCAGGGATGTGCTACGTGCAGAGTACGGGGGTGTGCTACGTACATAGTGCAGAGTTCTGGGATTCGAAACACACAGATTGCAGAGTTCAGCCTTCTTCCAGAGCTGCACACTTCTGCATCCCTCATCCACATCTCACTTTCACCCCTCTTCAGCTCTGACCTCTGCATGTAACCCCCACCCTCCACTGCCCCTATCTTCTCCCCCCTCCCTAAATGTTTCACCATCTTCCACATATCTTACTTTTCTTGCTGTATTAATTTAAAGTACCCAGCCGACTCTAGTATCTTCCTTCACACTGTAGCTGACCTCTCTCACTTGCAGGGAGATCATCCAGTGGGGGTGAAGGCATCTGCACTGCACCCCGGGCACCTGCATCTCTCTTGTCCCCATCCTGCACTCAGTTGGAGCCGCTCAGGGGATCAGATCTATGGGAGCTGTTGGGAGACAAGCTGCTGCTTGTATACACAGAATCTGGACTTGTGTTTACAAGTGACAGTGATGAGCAAGCAGCAGAGGGCCTGAGCCAGAGGTGGTGGATGTTCCACCAAGTTCCAGTTGAAAAAAGGTCCTCGTTTTATTATTGTCAAAGAGAACTTAAAAACTACATATATAAAGTATTTTATCTAAACACATTTTTGCAAAATAGTAGATTTTAGGACATGTCTGGGTTTAAAAATGTTTGGTCCTTGAAGCAAAGGTTAAAGTAAAGGTTGGGGATACAGGGAGGATTAGTGTGAGAAGGGTGTGGGTTAAGGCTTTGCTCTGAAAACCGAGAGCTCTTTGCTAAAGACTACCAGCATAAGACCCTCAGCACTATTACTTATGTATTATGTTGCTTGGGTTTATCATTACACAGCCACACTACACTGGGCACATTTTGCTATCCAGTGCCTTAATCATATGGTCTGCTATAGCTATACTTATACATGGCTGCGACTGGTCCCACCTTGAGCCACATAAATGTCAAGAAATACAACATACACTATAATGCAGAAACAACATTTATTAAACATGCCTGAACTGCTGGTGGAGGAGAAGAAAAGATAATTATGCATTTCACTTTACCAGTATTTTGTTCTGTTACCTACTGTACTGTCTATAACCCTTCAAGTTTCACTTTTCAATTAGTCTGGGTTCACACTACTGCAGCCCATGTTTGCTTGGGCACAGCAGCCCAATAATTTGAGTTGAGTTGGGCTGTTGTGCTTGTTTACTGCAGGAAAAAGGTGCATGCACCTTTTTAAAGACATGGCCCAGGTTCAGGCACCCACAAACGGACTGTGGGCTGAGATGGGGGTATCATCCAGAATGAATGCAAGCTCTGTGCGTCTTGTAATTCCTTCACCAGCCTGCAGACTGCAGGTGTGAATCAAGTCTCAAAATACTACATTAGATGCTAAAAGTCAGCAATTCAACTGTTTCTCAAATTTACATAAACCAGGATCTCTGTAACTGTTAAAAAAAAAACACAGCATAAAGCTAAACAAGTGTCACACTAAATGACATACAGCTGTACAGTTCCCTCCATAGCCACTTATCTACATAACTGCTTTAAATATTACATTTTATTTGGATATAAATATTTCTTCATAGCCTGCCTGTCATTTCATTGCAGAAATTTCAAGTATTCACTAACTTACCAACTGCAGCATCATTGACACACTTTCCCAGCTGGCTTCCCGAATGTGGTCACCTCCATCGACCAGTCCTTGGTAACCCTGAAACATTTTTAAACAACTGTACTTGGAAGCTTACAGTTTACAAACATTATATAAAAAATAAATAAATACAAAATTATATACTCTATTCCCACGACACTAGTATACACACCTCATGCACAAAGTACACTTTGGCACCAGTGTAGATACCCACTCTCACCACTGCTCGTACAGCTGCATTCATTCCTGATGAGAAATATAATAAGAATTAATTCTATAATTTCCAGAAAGAATAAAGTGCATGTTTATAGAGCTCACTAACTACTACAAAATACATTGAAACTTACTCAATTGTATCAAACCAATATTAATATATTTTGGTGAGCAAAAAGATTTGCCTTTCATGAGTATCCGCTCTGTATTATTATTACTACAGGAGTGATATAGAGACAACAGTTTGAGCAGAGCTTTACAAAATAGGTAAATAGAGACATTTGGGTACAACACAATCCAATACAAGAGGGGCAGAAGGCTTGTGGGAGCTTACATTCTAAAAGGGAGGGGCAAGTGATACAAAAGGTAATAACTGTGTGGGATAAGCAGATAGAGAAATTAAAAGTACAGTTTTTAGGGGATGGCGAGACTGGCTTCCCTAATAAAATGAGCTTTCAGGGATTACCTCAAGGCGAACAGAATAGGAGATAGCCAGAAAGACTGGGCAGGGAGTTCCAGAGCATGAGAAATTCTCTGGGGAATTCCTGGAGACAAGGATGTGAGGAGAAGCTACAGAGAAGGTGGTCTTGGGATGAGTGAAGAGGATAGTTTGGGTGATATTTCAAGACAAGGTTGGTGTTGTAGTTTGGGACGGAGTTGTGGATGTCTTTATTTTTGTTAGTATATTGAATTTATTTGTTGGGTTAGATAAAGCCAGTGGAGGGACTGTCAGAGAGGGGTGGAGGACACTGAATGGCTCATAATGGTGGATAAGTGTGGCAGTAGCATTCATGATAGACTGAAGGGGGAATAGCCCGTGCAGTGGCAGGCCAATCAGGAGAGAGTTGTAATAGTCAAAGTAAGGAATAACAAGGCAGTGAGCAGCTTGGTGGTGTCACTGTTTAAGAAGAAGCATAGTTGGAGATGTTACAAAGGTTAAGGAGGCAAGAACTGGACAGTGACAGGTCAGAGTCCAGGATTACACCTAGAACCCTAACATGAGGGGAGGGACTAATGATTGTGTTATTGATTTTGATCAATAGTCTTGAGGGGATGCAGGAGAAGGAAATATCAGGAGTTCAGTTTTTGAAAGATTACATTTGAGGAAGCGGTGACATCCATATTAATATCTAAGTTAGTAAGTTATTGCTGCAAAAGGAGACTGAAAGGGGGAGCTGAGGCAGATAGAGATAGATTTGGGTGTTGCCAGCATATAGATGGTACTGGAAGCCATGAGAGGCTATCAACAGACCCAGGGAGTAAGTGTAGATAGCACCAGAGCCTTGGGGGGCTTCTACAGAAGAGGAAGAGCAAGAGGAAAGAAGGAGACAGACTTGTAGGTGACACTTAATGTGCACTTAGGTAGGTAGGAGGAGGATCAGCTAAAAGCAGAGTCTAGCAGGCCAAAAGAGTTGAGGTTTTCTTTTTTTTTGTTTTCTTTTGAAGAGTTGTGGGTAGTTAACTGTGTCAAAGGCAGCAACAAGGCCTAATAGTATGAGTACGGAATAGTGGCGATTGGTTTTAGCAGTTAGTAAGTTTCAGGAGAGCAGTGTCTGTGGAGTGTTGAAGATCAAAGCAAGACTAAAAGGGGATGAGGAGGTTGTTGTCAGGTGGCAGCTGAGACAGTTGTAGGCTAGGCGTTCTAGACATTTGGAGATAAAAGGTAGCAAGGAGATGAGTCTGCCAGGGAAGGACTGACAATTCATGGGGCCCCCGGGCAATAGGGAATCATGGGGCCCCTGTGTCCTCGCCCACACTCAAAAAAGCCTATGAAAGGTACCAAGGGGCATCTCATGGGGCCCCCTACTGACCCCGGGCTCTCGGCAGTGCCCGAGTTCCCAAATGGTCAGTCCGCCCCTGGGGTCTGCAGTTGTTCAGACTGGAGGGATCCAGCAAGGATTTTTAAGTATGGAGATGACCAAAGCATGATTTGGAGTTGGGAAGATGGCAGTATAGACTGAAAGATTGATGATGTGAATTACAGAGTGCAGAATAGAGCAAGATTGTGAGTGGAGTAGTTGTGAGATAATGGGGTCCAGGGGGCTGGTGGTTGTTAGAAAAAAAGCATAGCAACCTTCTTCAGAGCCCTCAGAGGCAAGTCCTCAAAACGTGTCAGCCTTTTGGATGTCTAAACTCCCTATTGCGGACTGTTACTCAGCGCGGTGTTGACCCAGCTGTTCGTTATGATGTGCCTTGACTATATTGTCGTTTGTGAGTACAACACATACTTTATTTTTTATTAAACATTTTTTATGGTAATGCACTAGGCCTGTACGCCCTCTGTTTTGTCTTTCCTCACTCTTATGAAATACGTCAGACTGTCTACTTTGCAAAAAGGGGTCATTTGGGGGATATCTGTACTGTTCTGACATTTTTGGGCCTCACGAAATTAGATTGGCTGTCAGTACTTCAGGATTGGTCAATTTTCAGATATATCCCATATTTTGCGAACTCTATAACTTTCCTACAGACTAAATAATAAATACTGATTTGGGTTATTTTCACCAAAGAAATGTAGCAGAATACATCTTGGCTTAAATTTCTGAACAATTATTTATTTGCAAACCTTTATAACAGAAACAAAGAAAAATTTGTTTTTTCCCAAATTTTCTGTATTTTTTTGTAAATTTAGCAAAAAATAAAGACCGCAGTGGTGAATAAATACCACCAAAATAAAGCTCTAGTTGTGTGAACAAAATGATAAAATTTTAGTTTGGGTACAGTGTTGTATTACCGCGCAATTGTCATTCAAAGTGTGAGAGCGCTGAAACCTGAAAACTGGCCTGGGCAGAAAGGGGGCAAAAGTGCCCTGTATTGAAGTGGTCAAAAAATATATATTTTAAAAAATATATATTTTTTAAATATATTCTTCAGATTGTTTTTAAACATATAAAAAAGTAATTTTTAACATATATTTGTAAATGCATTCCAAAAATGTAGATTTATAGTTTTAAAGACATACAGTATATTTGAAATGTATTTTTAAAAATAATTTCATATATTTTGTAATAAAAACGAATTTCAACATGCAGTATATATAGCAGGGCCCTCCTATCCCTCTTGTATTGAACTGTATTGTTGCTATATTGTCTCCCTTTATATCGTAAAGCAGAGCAAACTATATAAATCCATAATAATTAAACTATATATATATAAATCCTGTATAATATATATTACATATATATTTTTTTTTTTATATATTGAAGCAAAATTGTAGCATTTCAAATATATGGCAATATAATTGGAAAGAATATTTTTTAAATATATTTTTCTTCCATGTGGGTGCAATGAGTACAATAATATTTTCAGGGTAGATGTTGGATTTTTTGAGCTTACAGTCAGTTTAAGCTTGAGCTACTGCAAGCCTCTAGACTACACCTATATCTCAAAGCTAACATATGGATGATTAACTTTAATAAACATATGTTCTAAAAAAGTAATCCAAAAAGAAAAGGAAGACAGGCAACTAGCTATATTTGATGAATGTTGATAAACAAACCTAGTTTTGCATTTGTTGTATTTTTTTTTCCTTAAGAATATTAGTCATCACTCATCTCAGGCTGGATGAAACACACACAGACCAGAAAATCAGAACACTGTAATTAATGAAGATATATACTGTACAAATATACATGTGGACATTTAGCTACATATTTAAACTGAATACTCTGCCTTTATCAAACCTCTTACCTTAGAAGTGACAAGAGAGAATTATTACCAGATGACCTAGTTAAATTTGTCATCTATTTCAATCATATGCTTACATAAAAATGGAAATATATTTCTATTTTATTCAAATATCTAGTGATAGTGAAAATGTGAAGGTCACTTACTTTATTCTAGTACTATCTTGAAAAGAAACATTATCTGCTCAAGGACAGACCATGTTGTGATCCCAGATAACAGCTGCTGTGAAACACAGCACGAGACAAAACAACAACTTGAACCTTCCTATTAGTTTGTAAAGCAAGAAATTAGCATGACACCGCCAGAAATCATCATGTCCCATGTTCTAGGTATATTAAGTAATAAAGGCACTTAACACAAATTCCATGGACCTGGGATTCTTCTATATAATCTGTCACTATACTGCTACTTTTAGAGCAGCAGATTTCTTACCAAAAGGTTACAGTAAAGAAGAACGCTTCCACTGGAGGTGTTTTGATAGTATGGCAACAAAGTATGATAAGCTCTTCTAAAAAAAGTCTTAATATCCTACAGCTGTCATGAGTTGATAAAAACATAATGGTGGCTTAGTTGACTTCCACTCAAACTGGCTGTAGTGTGTGTAAAGCTGGGTGCACGCACTTCATTCCTTCAACCCAGCAGACTGAACAAAAAAAAAAAACCTGACAGATCGCCATACCAACACAAGCAATATTGGTGCAGCAATATCCCCCACTGTGCTATTGTATTCTGACAGGGAGACCCCCCCCCCCGCTAGAACACAGTAATCGGCGCTCGCAGCCATTGGCTTCAAGCGCTTATTGGATGCGGGTCGGATGCTGATTTTTCAGCATGCCTGTTCAACAGAAGTGAGAGCAGCTTCTGTAGAACAGACAGTTGTACACATGGGGTGAAAGTCGGCCAGTTCCTGCTGAACAGACCAATTTCTGCCTGCGTGTACAAGGCTTAGCAATATCCCTAGCTAGGGCAGCCTGTCTTCAAATACTTCAGAATGTCATGGAACAAAAGATCACTAGCATGTCTCAAGCTCCTCATACAAAATACAACTTTATTAGAACAGATGTGGCAAGTAATGACTATATGGCCATGGCTGTTCATGTATTCCTCGTGATTTTCCTCTGTTTGACAAGCAGTTATCTGTATGACAAAGCATGAGACATGTATTTTTACAACAGGAGATCCACTGGTTGTCTAACAAGGATCAATGATATTGGAAAACTACCAACTTCTGCTATTGGCCAATCTGGCCATAGACTAGTAGAATTTTGTTCGAAGATTTGTTTTTTTTGTACAATGTTTGTTCAATTTTGTAAATGTTAGTGGGGATCAAATGGACATTTGTTTTTCGACTGATGTGGTGATAAAAGTCAAACGATAGGGATGGAAAATTAATGAATTTTTAATAATGAATGTGGTTTTCATTTGGGAAAATTCATACACTTCAAAATTAAATGTTAAAAGCAAATGTTTTTTTGAAGCACTTTAGAACGACATTCGTCATGCCATCAAATATATTTAATGAGCATTTTTATTTGAATGTTCATTTGAACATCTACTAAACTCCACTCCAAGTCTACTAGTGTAAAGCCAGCTTTGTACTGTATGGTACTTGCACATGACTGCACTGCGCCCTTTTTGCTCTTTACATCCTTGAGTTCTGAATTCTCTACAGCATAGTGCAAAATGTTACTTTCATTTATATGCTTATTTTTTTTTATTTAAAATGTTTTAAAACTTGCTAAAGGTTTTATTGCATGGATTAACCAAATTATTATATATTATAATATTATTAGCTAATTATGAAAGTTAACCTATCACTTTGGACAGCGCTTTTTATGTAAAGGTCACAACTCAAAACTGATTGCATTTGTTTTATCTCCTTTAAATTTTTCTAGCTTGTAATGGAGATTCTGAGGGCTCATTGAGTCTTTTCAGGTAGGAATAAAATATCAATTCATAACAGGTAAAGCTTGTGATATAAAAACACAACACATTTTAGTAAGAAAGTTAGATAATATCAAAACACCCAGGAAAGGAGGGCATCACTATCCTTCCAGCGAGATTCGGGGGAATACCAACCAGCCTAAATATTGAAAGGAGAGACTACTGCATTGTGCTGGAGCATCATGATTCAAGATTTGTGCTACTCGGCATTCCTCATGAACTCATCAAAGGATGGTGCCTTCATCCCCTACAGCAGGCATGTCCAAAGTCCGGCCCGCGGGCCATTTACGGCCCGAGGGTCGGTTTAATACGGCCCTCCATGTCAGTGTGTCAGTGTGTCTTATGGAGCGAATATGGAGCGGCCGGTCCGGTATTTCCACCGCGGCCGTGTCAGAATACCGGGCCGGCCGCTCAGCTCTGCAGCGGGACCTTACCTGTTCCTCTATCCAGCGGCGCGCTGTCTTCCCGGCTTCTGTAGTGTGGGCGCTGGGCATGACAGCCGGGTGCCAAGTGCGCATGCGCAAGAAGCGGTGCTTTTTGTGAATGGTAAGGCGGTACCTGGGACACATGACAGATCCCAGAAGCCGCCGGACCAATCACAAAGCGCAAGTGCTTCTCGCTCATGCGCACTGGGCACCCGGCTGTCATGCTGAGCGCCATTACAGAAGCCGGGAAGACAGCGCGCGGCTGGATCGAGGAACAGGTAAGATCAAAGAACAACTGCGGAAGTAAGAGCGGGTACCTGTCAAATTCAGGTACCCGCTCCCCACCTCCCCAAAGGTCAGCAGTCATCTGTACTGTCCGCAGTCTCTGGTCATCCCTGTGCTGTCCGCAGTCTCTGGTCATCCCTGTGCTGTCCGCAGTCTCTGGTCATCCCTGTGCTGTCCGCAGTCTCTGGTCATCCCTGTGCTGTCCGCAGTCTCTGGTCATCCCTGTGCTGTCCGCAGTCTCTGGTCATCCCTGTGCTGTCCGCAGTCTCTGGTCATCCCTGTGCTGTCCGCAGTCTCTGGTCATCCCTGTGCTGTCCGCAGTCTCTGGTCATCCCTGTGCTGTCCGCAGTCTCTGGTCATCTCCTGTACTGTGTCTGCAGTCCATTAGTTCAGAATTTTTTTTTCCTGTTTTCTGCCTCTAAAACCTAGGTGCGTCTTATGGTCAGGTGCGTCTTATAGGGCGAAAAATACGGTAACTTGGCATAAAATAATTTGTTTGCATTTAATTGTACTGGTTCAAAGAATGTTTGGAAAAATGTTCGGCCCTCCACCATGTTCACTTCATCCAATCTGGCCCTCTTTGAAAAAAGTTTGGACACCCCTGCCCTACAGTATAAAAGGCAAGTATTAACCAACCCTTTTTAGCCACAGAATTACTTCAGTGATTTTTGATGGGGGAAGGGGTGCTAGGTGAATAAGCAGACCTTAAATGTACTGCTAGGGCCACTTTAAAGTACTGTATACATGATGGTAAAAACCCTGTTTTATTCATCTACTGTTGTGGTTTGTGTCCCATTGGTTGATTTCTCCTCTTCACTTCCTGTCCTGGAGACGCAACAGGAAATAAGAGAAAATATCTTCAAAGTTAAGGGATATTCCCCTCTGTTCCTGTCACAGCGACAGCTGTAAAATGTTGTGCTTCCTATCAATTTCTGTCTTGGTGATAATCGTCATGGGAGAATCTCCCCAGTTTGGATGCATGCAGCAATAAAAATACTTCTCCACTCTATCTGAAACTGAAAAAAGTTGGCTTTAGATACACTTTGAGTAATTAAATGTGAAAAAATAATGACTGTACACATCAATATATTTATGAACATTAATCAAGCATCCTATTTGTTATAAAATTACAAAAATAACATAACTGATATCAGGTTATATGATTAACATTTATTATAAATAATATTAATGTGAAATTAAAAATTAATATTTTACTGCAAAACTGCTCATTGATCTACACTGTAAATGTACTTCTATACTAAAAATGAAGACCAAAGAAACATTTCTATATTCTTCTCGTTTCAAGGGTACAATTTCATTAGAGAAACCTTTGGTCAACTGCATACCTAGTCTGACACAGAGGCTGATGAAAATTAAAGAAAGCATGACCAAAGATGGCCCGCAGTGACAGAGTCAGAGATACAGAATCCAAAATAGCTGAAAAGTTCTAAGTATTGGCAGTGACCATGCTCATTTTTTGTCCTGAGTAAGTTGTTGTTTTTAATGTCTTTTTTTTCTCTTTCAGAGTCTAAAATGCAGGCCATGTCTAGTCAAATTTAATTTATTATAATTGGTTGGTAGACAATAGCAGACAGCTCAAAACTACATACAAGATCGGAAAAACAGATTACCTTGTGCATCTCCTCCTGATGTAAGCACTGCGATAGCTTTACCGACTCCCAGAGTTTGGGCTTCATGGTGCTTATCTTTCCCCAGCATTTCGTTATCTGTAGTTCAAGACAAAATCCTGCATGAAACCAGCAAGGGACAGCCTGTGTGCCTCTGAGAAGCTCCAGGAGTGAGGCAGAGAGAAGAGTCTGCAGTGTTTTGTAAGTCACACTATCCCCCAGCATTACAGGATTCCCAGAATGACAAGTCAAAATGTCACTACAGGTTACTTTCTATGCAGTGTCAGCCAAACATAATCCTTTATTCACGTGCAGTCCAGTCTGCTTATAAACAGGCAAATAAACAAACACAAATCATGGCGCATGTGATATTGGTTCTTAATGCTTGGAGACAAGAAAAATTATGATGAATCGTATCAACTCAATACTGAAATGCTAGAACCATAAACTTAAAACTATAAGTCATCAGAAAAGAACAATAATTTGTTTAATACATTTTATCATTATAAAAAATAATGACTTATCTAGTGCCCTGCTCTGTTATCTAAAGCCCTGTGAGAAAATAATAATGTAGCAAGAGTGTCTTGCAACAATCTCAACCAGTAAATCCTGGGTTGATACCACTGTGTAGCGTGCACCCAAGGACACTTTCCAAAGCACATTTAAAATTGTGAAGGAGATGGAATTTTTGTATGTTCTTAGGTCAGACGTCTCATTACTGGACTCCAAACTGCCATGAAATGAAGTCCAAATTTTCCCAAGACAGATCACCAGCCCACAAACTGAATGAGAGAAATTCATTGATGCCTCCATCCATGGTAACAAACGAAGATGGAGGAATCTCCACTGCCAGTTAATGGAATCAGGCAGCTACAGAATCCGCAGCTGCTGTTGTGATGCAAAAAGGAGGATAGGGTAGGGGAGAGAAGAGTGTACTGGGTGGATGGTATGACAGAGAAAGACTAGGGAAGAGAGTTGGGGAAATGAGAATGGTGCAGAGGGTTTGTTGAACTGGATGACTGATATCACAAGTTGCGGCCAGGCCGATTATCTAACTGGCTTCTGACATTAGAGTTTGGTGGTCTGTGAAGGTGAACCCGGTCCAATAAAATCACCTTTCATGACATTGTTCTCCTCTGTTATTGACCGTTGCCATCAGTTCCTTTATCATTTGAACTTTGCCGAAATTGGTGAACCATAGGCTAATTGGTGGTGATGTGGATTCCAATAGAATGGAATACACAATTTTGTCTCATCAAGTAAATGTATGAGAAGGGAGCATTTATATCTCTTTAGAAATAACAGAGCCAAGGAGGAACGCTACCAAGTCATCTGGCATCTGGATGTCTGTTAGCCTAAAAATTATCTTTTTCACCTGGTTCCAAAAATGTTTGTATATTCGAGCAGGATCAGAGTATATTAAGGAGAGAGCCCTCTTCTCCTTGGCATCTCTGTGCAATGTGTTTTACCAACATATCATAGTCTACCTTTTATTTCTAACTTGAATGAAATGTCATTTTGTGGCATTTCAGTAAAGTGGTTGTAAAACTTCATTTTTCCCAAAGTAAAACAAAATGTCATACTTACCTGCTATGTGCAATGATTAATTCCTGTTCTGGGGTGCACACCAGCACTCTCTGCTCCTCCTCTTCTCAGAGTGCCCCCATAGCAAGTTGGGTACACTCCCGACCCAGGCTGTGCGCATCCATAGACATACACAGCATGGCTCAGGCATGTCCTCCACTCCCCCCTCACAGAATTTGATTGACAGCAGCAGGATTCAATGGCTCCCACTGCCATCAGAGCCTCCTGTGAATACAGGAAGAAGGGAGAAGAGTTGTGGCAGATGGTACAGTGAAAGATCAGAAAACTCAGGTATGTGTTTAAGGGGGGGGGGGGGGTCTAAAATAAAAATTTGTCTTTAGAGCCAATTTTCATTCATTTCTATGCACCACCAATGTGATGTACTGCATTACAACTTCCTGCACAAAAGTGCATTATGCCCTACCTTTTTCAGCACACACCATCTCAGAGCATTGCTGTGAACTGAACTGATTGGCATAGACAAAACATTTTGCCTTATGTCCAAATGCAACCCAATGCGTATGGTGTAAATGGGTCTTAAGATTTTATCTATTTGAAAACATTGACATAACATGAACACATTTTACATCTAACAATCCGAACCAGGGGCGGACTGACAACTCATGGGGCCCCTGCGTCCTTGCCAAAACTCAAAAAAGCCTATGAAAAAGGTACCAGGGGCATCTCATGGGGCCCCCTACTGATTCCGGGCCCTCGGGCAGTGCCCGAGTTTCCAAATGGTCAGTCCGCCCCTGATCCGAACCAAGCAATCATAAAAGCTGCTTACCAATAAACACATTATTTTTGTATAATGAGATATGTGTTTCTACAGTTTTGACAAGCTTTAGCCTGAAAAATAAAATGATTAAAAAAAAAAAAAGTCACCTTTCTGTGAGTCACTGAAGCTGGCAGCAGCAAAGTCCTGCTCTTCCAGGCTATCTGGTAATAAGAACAGGAATTCTTAGGAGACATGCCATGGAAGAGTTACATAACAGTGAACATGCATGTAGGTTAAATGTCATAGTATCACATATAATTAATGTTCTGTACTTCTTAAAATGCTCTGTGTTTTGAATATGGGCTGACACACAGACACACAGAAAATCATTGATAATTTACAAATCTTGGGTGGGTTTAAAAATGTTTTACTGGACAGAAAACAGCACTCAGTAAGCTGGTCATGTACAGCAGAAGTTACAGCCAAACATTTTAAACCCTTGACAAATCACTCAGAGCACACGGAATTGTGATGCTTAGTAAGAAACCTGTTGCTATGTCAATGGTTGCTGCAGTTATGCCAAGTCCGTACTTACTTCATTCAAATCCTGAGAAGTTTCACCCAAACACTTAACAAAAGTCCTAATTTGCATATTACTATTAGCTCCATATATATATACATAGAATACATTTTATTTTTATAACACATTTTACCCATTCTAGCCACTGCAAGCTAAAATTGAATTCTAAAATCAACTAAAAAAAAACTGACACCTAAAATTAAATATATTTGTAAAAAAAAAAAAAAACAGTAAAGTAGCAAATCACTTTGAAATTTTTTGATAAATTGTATTAAAACTAAAAAGCATAAATGTATAATTAGGAAAAAGATTTAATTGCATATAACAATTGGACCTGAGTTAGGTCTTTACCTCTGCCTGTGGCCACTACATGAAGGTCCACCCTATTCTAGTTCAGCTGTTTCAGTTGGGCACATTTACATTTATGTGGTGCATTAAAGTGCATTATGTTGTACATTAACGTGTGTTGCATTGAGGTAGCCCACTGAAATCAATGGGCTGCCAACACACCAACAAAAAAAAGGGCCACCGCTAAATTTGGGGCACAACACACATTACTTTGATAAGTTGGGGTGCCATTCAAAACGAATGCAATGCATGTAAATCTGTGTTACCTCAAAACGGAAATGTAAATTAGCCTTAAGCTCCTGGTTTCTGTCTGGTGTGCGTTTTTTGTATGTTCCAATAGAGGATTTGCTAATAGGATACCAACACCAGCATTATGGTGTCACTGGCCTCCTCCAAGATTCTCCTTAATATAAAGAGAACATGCTAAAAAACCCAAAATTTCGGCTTATATCTGGCAGCTCCATCTAAAATTAAAAAATGTTTTTTCTGGATGCGGTCTTTATAAAGTCATTTGGAGATGTTGTCGATGGTATTATTTCACATGATAACTAAAACCTAGTTTATAATCGCCAGTGCTTTCATGTGTAAAGGAAAGAATCTAAACTGGGGTACTGAATTAAAAGTCATGGAAATCCGACCAGTAAAATTTTCTTCCAACAGAGGTCCAAACCACATTTTATTTTCAGCCCTCCCCTACTGTATATCACAATTCCTATACTTCAGTGTCCTCAGTCCCCCCCCCCCATACATCACATTCCCCAACTTCACATCAGTTTCACCTTCACAGTTGTGTTCTCAGGCCCCCTGCACATCACCCCCACCCACCCCTTTACAGTACACCCCCATTATATTCAGCAGTCCTCAACCCCCATTCAAATCATCACCCCCGCCCCACACTACTGTCCTCTGCCCCCTTCACATCTCTACCCCACACTACTGTCCTCTGCTCCTTCACATAACCCCCAGCAGAACTGTGCCCCCTTCACATCCCCTCACAACACTGCCCCCCCCCTTTACATCTCCCTCCCCAAAGCTTTGCCCCCCTACATTTCTCCCAACAGCACTGCCCCACCCCCTCACATCACAAATTCCCCCCTCCCCCCCAACAGTAGTGTTCTATGCCCTTTTCACATTAACCCCCCCCCCTCCCCCCCCCCCCCCCACACACACACACAGAACTGCCCCTTCACACACCACCCCAGCAGTATACTCTGCCCTCCTCACATCAACCCCACCTGCCACTTCACATCCCCACCACAACACTGCCCCCCCTTGACATCACCCCTTCACAGCACTGCCCCCTTTACATCACCCCCCACCACCACCATATGCACACAGCACTGCCCCGTTTCACATTTTGCCCCCCTTTACATCACACACACGCAGCCACAGTAGTGTCCCTGTCCCCCTTCTTTCTCCTACCTTAGAGCAGAGAGCTGGAGGTGGGGCATTTCTGGAATCGGTGTGAGAAGAATAGCACATCATTGAACAGAGTGGCTTCTTTCCCCCCATCCTCTGCTGCTGTCATAACAGCAGAGCGGACAGAAGACTGAACATTTCTGGAGCGAGTGTGGAATAACAGCACAGTATTGAATAGATTGTGGGAGCGGGAGCTATCATAACATTTCTGGATTGGATGCAGGAAGCACAGCGAAGCATTGAATAGAGTGCGGGAGCTGCAGGGATTAACTTTTTGTATTAACCAGCAGGTGATTCTCTGCTAGCACTACCCTGCTTCCAATCAGCCGCTGGTTAACTTGAAAAGTTAACCCTGGCAGCTCTGATGCTCTATTCAATGCTATACTGTGCTTCCAGCATCAGATCCAGAAATGTTATGACAGCTCCCACTCCTGCGCTCTGT